GTTATTTGAGGAAATCACGGCTCCAATGAAGTTTACTCACTAGGATATCAAGGGCCTGGACTGAATCCACTCGTGCAATGATTCATCCCAACATTCACGTCTGGGCATAGTGAATGATTTAGCAATCCATCTTAATAAGATTTGCGTCCTTACCGGACCGAGAGAGACCAATTCACGCCGGGTTCGTTCCTTCATATCTATGACACACACTCGATCAATGATCACGAGCATAACGTTCCCGGGTAAGGCGAGAAGGCGGAAAACATCCCAGGCCTCCCCTGGAAACTTTCATCTTCGCTCGGTAACTCACTTAGAAAATACTTTTGTTTGCTTACGGAGAAGTTAGACCATTCCGACCGGATGTGGTTTAGATAGACCCGGTCCAATCGGTGACGTTTGATGGCCGAACTTCCAATTTTCTTGTGGGTTTCCTCGTGGAATGCGATGGGTGGGATTCACTTGAAGTTACAACGGATTCACTCGAAGTTGAAAAGGTATCGGCACATACATTGTGTTGTAATCGCATGATTAAGACACACCAAAAGCGAGCTTGTTTGCCAATTCGTGTTCTTATTGTGCGCCCTGCGGAACTGTTTAAACAGAAGACGATTTCTCAAATAGTGATAAACATCAGAAATCTGAACTTTATTCGTCTACTATCCCCACATTCAAACGTTCTTCTAGAGCATAGATTTTTCAAAATTCGCCAATTTAGCATGTTTCTTCTATTTCTTGTGAATAATGGATTACGATCTCACCCGTTAAAAATGTATTGTTTAATTCTTTCATAAACCTAGGGGTCACCGATATGAGATAATTCAGTAAACTACCATAACGATAGATATTTTTGCTTGACCTTATTAATGAGTACTTTCAATCTGTAATCTGTGGATATAACTGAAAAAATCGGGTTTTTATTTTATAAATCAAATTATTTTCACTTGGTGCACAGTGATCAGGGAAATAATTCAGATGTAGCGGATTCGTTTTTCGAATAATGCACAGGATATGACATCGGGGGAACACGCTCCATACTGTACTCCATAAGCCGATAGCGTGATTTTCTTTGACTATGCTGCGAGCGTGAGTCATTCATACGATACCCACGCAAAACATGTTGCCTAGGAAACGAAGTGTATTCTGAACGTGTAGATGTCGTTGTTCTCACTCAATCAATTGTCTGCTTCTACCGCCCTTACGCAGTGCGACGGGCACATCCAAGTTAGCTGAACTTAATCCTAGAATAAGGCAAATAATGGGTTAGGACAAATTACCACAACTGCATGGTGTTACTGTGTCAGTTTCACCCATTTTTTGAACTGGTTAACAGTTACTTACTAAAATGGTACCCATGGATTATTCTGTCGGAAGCAGGGATGTGTTTCAATGATAATGACCGTAGCTATTAGGATCTATTTTTAACATTTTGTAACTACCAGTTTGTTTGTAAGCAGTATTCGTTGTTCTAAAGTTATATGTCGGCCATGCCGTTCCTTCAAATATTCTATTAAGCTATGCAACGGTTTTATCGGCTAACAGCAAAAACTCTGTTGCATTTACCTTGATACGGGTATAATGAAAAAAATGTCATTAACACAACTGATTAGTTTTGTGCCATGATTTCTAAAAACCTGTAACAACTTGTAACCAACTGTAAATGGATTTGTCGTTCACAAATTATGGCAAAAATACTGCTGCTACCGTTGTTTTGCGTTCATAGTTTCGCTATGTACACATAGTATAATGTAGATAAGCCCGTGGTATCAAAGATGAAAGGAAAAATCCAAAATCCTTTTAAAACGGCCGGAACGCTTTTATAGAAACACATCTATAAATAAAAGCTTAGCTCAGATGAATTAAAGAAGTTTGTGCTCCGTTTGTATTCAAGAGGGGATTTCTTATGATTGAATTGTATGAACATTGTAGTTTTTGGTGAATGGTAACCCTCCCTAAAATCCTGACATATCCACGATTTTACTTTAAATATGCAAGTGCTTATTCTCGGTCCCAAATGTATTCATGTAATGTGAATTCTTGGCCTAAAAAATATAAAAAAATATTCGCCTGTTGACATTTTTGTTTATTCATATTATTCACGAGATTGCAACCGTTTCATTTTCACATTTCACGTGAGATAATAAATCTATGTCGATAACAATGGGGTGCTATGTGGAAATAAATTTACATTGTCTGAATCAGATTAGATACATAAAGAATAAAGTAAATTTATCATTCTTGCCACTGCAGAATAGCGGAATATAAAATGCTTTTGCATAACTTTCAGTATTTTCACTTTCATATTTATTAAAGCAAGTTCAAAGCCCTAAAGTGCCACTAGTAGCTATAGCTTCATTAATTTCGAGCAGAGACGTCACAGACCTGGATTTATACAATGTCATCATCGATTGAGTAAACATTATTTAAATCTTCCATTGCTCAACAATTATACGCAAAGAAGCACTATTCCTCTAACTCAATCAGCTATAGTTACATACGACAAAACCAACAATCCCAAACCCAGTTTATGCAAATGGAAGTGGTTGGTCACATTAGGGTTTTCTTGGTGGATGAGCCCCATCCCATTCTTTCATGCTGTGTGTTGTGTTGTTCGTTGTATTTAGCAGTCATTCCGTTCTCTTATGTTCGTTCTTTACTGGAAAAACATTCCTAATTGGCATTTGTTGAAAAGTACGTTGATCAGAGAATGAAACTCAAAAACCAGTGATCGTATTCCCTATTACATTTGAAAGGGCTGGAAAATTTACAGTAGAATAAATAAATAAAACAGCAGGTGCTCCAATGAATTAAATACAGTCAATTCAGAGTTACAGTTGTTGTCCTGAAAAATCAAAGAGTAATTCATTTATCTGGTCTTTCATGAAAATACCGTCTTTCAGTCGACAAAGAATGTGCCTATTTACATTTATATAACAACAATAAGCTTGAACGCAATTTAATTGTAGATTATTTTGGACAGAACGTGCAATAATACCGGCTTCTATGTAGAAGACTTTTAACCAATCGTGATTGTCTATTACAGAGTTTATATTTTCGCGACTTTATAAACTGTACTCAATCCGATAAATGGAATACAAACAGTGGTAGCCTAAATGTCATAAATTACATCTGCGTGACGAGATTACATTTGGTCTGGAAAAAGTTTTCAACTTACTTCATTTATTTACATCACTAAATCGATCACGGGGCAGAGCAAAAACTGAACTAGCCAGAATCTTTCACACCTATTACGAAATTCGGCAATTTTATTTTTCTTTACTGCTCGGGATTAGCTAAACATTTCATCACGTTATTTTATTATTCTAGCATCTGTTTATATTTTATATACCGTCTTAGTCCGTTGCGAATATTCAACGATATTCTAGTTTATATTTACATTGTACTCCTCATTTTAACTTGAATAATCTATTGACTTTGGTTTGGCTCCTAGACCTTGGTCAATCTTTTTCCCATAACCTATTAAAGCACCATTCGTGATTAACGCAGAACGGGTAACGCCGGATGCGATTTTAAGAAGTAATTATTTCTGTTTCTACCGGAAAACACTAGTGTTTCAAGTGAGCAAGAAGGATATGGCGCATATTCTATACGTGGAACAACTCCTCACGTATGCTCCAAATTGTGCGAACATTTTGTCCTAGACAAAGCGTGACGCTTATCCTGTATAAAGCATTTCAATTTCCTAGGTCGTTCGTCTAATCTCGTGAGAGGTTTCTTTTGTTACGCCAGTTGATTGATCATCACAGAAGAGAGAACAGTTTAAACGCGACACCTCATTCCATTGCGTCAGGTGTGAAACTCCAAGAGATTTAGAGTTCGGATAGGAATTTGCTTCGTTAAAGAGATGAAAATTCGGTGCTTTATTTGATTCTAAACTCAATATCAATTAACGTCTTTGGGGTGAAAGTGAGCCAAACGTTTTATATGATTGGAATGCATGCACCAACCAAATGAAAACTCATTTCGGTCTAGCCGAACATGTTTGTATCGGTATGTGTACGTGTTTGCTTGTGGAATTATGTCTAAACATTTAGGTTTAATTTATACATATAGTTTTTTAAACAATGAATAACTGCCAGCACGTTGGGGTTTGATCTTCTTTGGTTCACTTAAAGTGTAATAAAATCTAAATTTCATTGTCAGTTTTCAAACGTCACAAATAGAACTACCAAATTATGCTCCCAAACACAACGTATTAGACTCAGGCAGCAACATTTGTTACAAAAGCAACCTTTTATTTTACCTCGGAGGGAATCCTAAAACTGAAAAAAATCAACCAGACCACTGAACAACAACAACAGCAAGAACAACAACATCAGTTATGAAGTACTACGCACATTTGTGAGTAGTACCAAGAAGCACCAAGAAACGGCTATTATATCCCATGGCATCCACCAGTGTATTAAAACATTTACTGTTGAGACGAAGGAAGAGACAANCAGATTATCAGACTGGCAATCACCGATGAAGATATAATCCCGAAAATGCGAAAACAATTGTTGCAACTTAGATGTTTCGTCCCATGTAATCTTATCTACCCCTGCTCGATACTGTTCCCAACTAAATATCTCTCCTCGTTGCGGTGCTGTCTTGTGGAATTCTAACACAATGACCTGGAACAATAAGCAGTGAATCAGAGTGTTTCACATATGATACTACCGGTCCAATATCAAATATGCATGAGCGCTTGGCGAAAATCGGTATATGCATTTGTAGTATCGAACCTCTTTTAGTTTCCACGAGACTTCTGCGGATGTGAACTCGCGTAAATGAAGTTACACAAAAAATACTCATTATTAGATAAAACTCATACATGAGGGCTATCTAACATTAGTTTGGATTTATTCGTGCCATAAAAAATGTTACTTGTTACTTGAGATATACCGTTCTAAAGCAACGTATACCTGTCACTGCCTTGTTTCGTCACATCGACATTATGAAACTATGGACCTAATTGAGAGTCAAGTAGGAAACCGCGCATAAGGTACTTACGCTTACTATCAACTTGATCGCTGGGTAGTCTATCAGACTATTTATCTTTTCTATAAGTGATATGGCGCAATGGTGTTGAGCATACTCATTTAGAAGATGTAAGTTGGCTTCTCGTAATGTGCATGTTTGTCACATGATCTGGCAAATTCAGAAAGGATAAATTCTGATGGAATTTAACGCGATCGAAAAACCTGTACCTCGCACTCCAACAATATATTTTAGGTTTTCTTCATCCTTTCGTTGGCGATGTGCACCAATTATGCAATTTAAACCTTTCCGCTTTTAGTTATCATCATTTTATTATTGTGGTAAGCACCAACACCGAGGGCATTCTATAACAGGCTGGTCTTGACGTAAATCAGCTCAAGCGGCTTCATTGGTAAATTATTTTGATTCCCATGGGTACATATTTATTCTTAAAATAACTGTGATCTTGTTACATAACGACACAATTCAGAAACCGATACAGGTTCTCCAAGCAGTGAGTCGAGAGATAACCTGGAATAAAAAGCACTAACAACCAATAAACATGAATGGGTATAGACGTACAAAACCGTGGCCTCTATTTTCTGGTTTATCTGCTATGTATTCAAAATTTACAAAAATAATAGCTTTTAACCAATATACGCAAAACCCTCTCAACAGCGATGAGAAACTGAATATGTTGATTGATCCCCACAGATTACAATCTTTTCTTATAGTAAACAAAACAGAGCCTGGTTTCATTTTGTCACATGACTCGAGGATCAGCGGATTTTCAAGTGATAATTATCGACTGGGTGAAATCAGAGCTGAACCGTGAAAGCGCCTTTGTGATATAACCCAGTTTCGCGTCGTCCGATGCGCATCTTTTCTGGCCCTATTTACCACACATCTGTAACTCTGCTCACCCCTAAATTTCATCTTGGTCACTTAACGCCATTCCAACTCAATTAATTACCCAAGATTTGTTGGAGTAGTTCAGGGAACTTTTTAATCTGCCTGACTTTGTCAATGAATTCAACATGATCCTTTACTTTAATCGCCTGAATCTATTTTTAGTTTTGTTATTCATGAAATTCTGTGGGTTTTTCAAACATGAATCAACAGCAATTGAGCCTTGCTATCAGAGTAAAAATTGTGTGTATGTAAGTCCATTTTTCCTGCAAAAGATTCTTAATTCACTGCAATGTGCATTACTTCCGTGAATTCTTTCATCGTTGACGATTTGGTTTACCCTGAAATTTTGAGACACCTCACTGACCTTTCATTTGGCAACTTCCATTTGCAAAGCAGTTATTACAAAACGTCTAACGATAGAAAGACTTTAAAATCGATAATATGGCTTTTTGGGATTATTTTACTTGTTGAAACATGGTCAGGTACGGATTACAATGAAATAATCCCTTTATTTTCTCATCTTTATTCAAATATATTGGAACAATCAGGCTTTTGATTATACCAAACATGTTATTATACAATGAAAATAAACTTTCCGTATAATTCTTAGTGTATTTTACAATAACACCTTTTTGTTTACAATATAAGGTAGTTTTAGACTTAAGTGAACTATTGTTTCACTTTCAGTTATGATGATTTTCATTCGGAAAGTCTAATTGCAGTGAAAGCGTCAATAAATGTCTTCACCAAAATAATCAATCTCCTTTTAATTTCTTTTTTTATTTATTGAATATACAAATGTACATTCAACGTTTAAGAAGGGGGCTGCGGCCATACAAAGGCTGCCTGGGGATATTCAGAAATAGGGAAAACGGGCGGCGTTGAAGCGGTTTGAACCCGGGACCTCCGGGTCACAATTTGGTGATCTAACCATTTGGCTATCAACACCAAGATGGCACGCAATATCTTTTGTTCTCTATCGATTTTATTGACAATTTGTTGCTCTTCGAGTGTATCAATCAACAGAATGTTCTAGTATTACGAAAGAAAAACAGTACCACCTCACACATTATATTTCTCCGCACTTTCTGATGCATAGGAAAATTTGCAGGAAATTATCGAAAATGATTTGAACTCAAAGATCTCCGCCACTTACGATGAAACTCATAGTGCAAAAGAGCATGCGTTTTCGGTGAATTCATTGACATTTATCATTTTTTACATAACTGGGTAGCCCAACACAGAGTAATTGAAGAGTAATGGTTGTCCTAGCAACTCAAAACCATTAAAAAATGGTCCCATCCGGTAATCAAAATGAAACCTTAACATCGTAATAAGTGTCGGTGATTTTATTTGCTTTCAATCAAGAGTACTTCGATACTTTAATCGATTTCGCCGTTCATTCACTTCAGACTTCAAGGAAAGGATGATAGTCAAGGTTCAAGTGAGACTAAATAAAATCATACATAAACGTCGTGATATTTATTGTGATGTATTGACATGATTAGGAATCACTGAAAACGAACTTTTTGGCCACTCATTGTTTCATTTTTAAATAACATCATTTTGGATTTTGGATTTGAGTAATGTCTCGAGTCTCCAAGGTAATTTTCATTTGTGTTGTTTCCATACATTCCTTAGACACCATTTATTTCGCCCAAAAATACAGGATAGCATTACGCGGAAAACTGAAAGGATAATGAGTTGTTAAGAATAATGAGTAGATAAACACTAGAAGTTGTATCCAGGATATAAAACACATTCTAAATTTGAAACTCCCCCATTATGTCCTATGATTAAACACAAATTGCAATAAACAATCCACGAAAATTGATGTCATGGCCCACTTTTCAGCATCGGTATGCTTGCGTAATTTAGTTTCAATTATTACCTTATATGACCGTCAGGAGCTGCGCGTTGTTGAACCATGAAATTTTTCGAACAATATTTCCTATCGTTCGTGTGGGTGAGCAAAACAAATGTGTCAATCTTTTTAAGCTTCTAACTTCTTTCGTCAAGTTGTGAATGGTGATGGATGAGTAGTGATTCCATAGGTGTAACTGATCGCATTCCTATCGTATCTATTCCATATTTTACTCTACCCCACAGATCCCAAATGCCTACGAGGTATTTGGCTTCGACATTCTGATCGACGCACAACTACGTCCGTGGCTGATCGAGGTCAATGCGAATCCTTCCTTGGCATGTGATTGCATCATTGATGAGATGGTGAAAAAACCGTTGCTGAAATCTGTGCTCGAAATGCTCGAATTGCATCCTCCCCCACAGCATCACGACAAGAGCATGACCTTTTTGGATAAACGCACCCCATCGGTGTTTAAAATGAAAAGCCGGACACTTCCTCACCTCACATCCAGGTCAGGCGCACAAACGAGATCGTGTTCCATACAAGAGAAACAGTGTACTGTGAGTGTTGACCGTTTGGGGCCCGCAACCTATTTCGATTGCCGTTCCTTTCGTGTGAACTCAGTCTTCAGATATTGCTCTACCTATAAAATCCCCTTGAATTATGCTCTTTTGTAGAATCGACACAAGTTTATCGTTTAAATGAATACACTGTACATAGGTGAATAGTTTCACCATGCTGTGAGTCAACGATTTAAAGCTTTCACGCACTTCCAGACACATTTACTTCCAGCCTAAATCGGTTTTGTCCCGACTAACCTCAGTCAATTTTGCCTGCCGCTAAAGTATACTTAGAGGCATTCCAAGTACATGAACTAATCTTCTCATTGAAAACATCAATTAAGCGAACGAATCCTTTTGTTAATTAACTCTCAAGCTTGTAGGATAATATACGCTCTGAGGATGTCAAAAAAGTCATGATTCATAAAATAACCTGGGTTGAGAGAAGAGGTGTTACAGAGGTGCAAACATTTGATGAAACTGATTACATAACACGATCATTCAGTCATCGTTTGATTTTCTGAACAACAAATGATTACATCGTATTGTGCGATAATGGTAATCTTAATATTTGAATAGACCGCTTTTGTTTGCCCAGTTCGATAGCTATATTTTCTTCAAAATAACTTAATTTTAAGACATTCCATATTTTGGCTTTTCGATCGGCTACAGTATAGATACTCAAAAACGATCATGTTTGTGCATGAAGGAGTGAAAATAACCGAAAATGTAGAGGAGGGGGGGTTACAATACTTTTATCGCGGAGCCTTGTGGGAAGTTCAGTGGCTGAAAACTCCTGTGATTCATGTGCAATCTACATTTTACAGGATAGCAGACAAAAACGTTTATTCCATTTACTACAAAAGGAACACTGAAAGGTATTGCTATTTCATTTATTCTTATAACTTACCAGATGCAAAACGATTTTTCACATACAGGAGCTATTTTTTGTCAAAGAGCAGCAGCCTAACAGACCGAAAATGGGGAATATCATTCTCACACTCAGTACCACATAGATTCAACTAAATACGCGTGAAACAAGATGGGTCAATTTGTTTAGCATTACTCGACTGAATACTAAACGTTTGCACTGCAAATTAAAAAACGCCAATGACTGTTGAAAAAGTCTTTACAGCTTCTGTTTTTCTGCCGATCCGGTGAAATGACATTGAAATCTATAACCAATAAATTTATTTGACCCATAAATATCGCTCCAGGTTTTCCCCTCAAGGTGCGGTCTATCGGTTACTTGCAATGAAGATTATTCTGGCTAATTTACCTTTAAAGCAGACGATAAACAGTTTGTTCTGCTAGGTGAATTAAGAACGCCAATTCAGTCAGAAATACACTTCGCAATCGTGCAGTATTCATCCGTCAGAATATCAAAAAACGAATATAAGTTCCAACATATATAAAATTTTAATCCGTTTCCATTCAAGGCCCCTCTGCTTGAACGACCATTTGTATAATCTTCATATTTGTTTGTGACAAATCATATCTACACCATCAACACTGCTGTTGATTACTCTTCCACAGAGTGACTTTTCATTATACCTTCTTAGTTTGGTTGGCCATGGCGCGGTCAGCATTCATATTCTGGTTTCTCGGCAACAATTTACCAAACTGCTGGTATTTATCACTTATTACATGGCACCTGGAATAACTGACTCATATAGTTGACTTGTCGTCGTCAACTTATTGAATAATCTATTGGGAGGATGAGCAAATCAGCTCCCGTGTAAGAATTAACTCGCTTAAAAAATGGTTTTGAACGGATTCTATAAGCCATAAAATTCTACTTTGGAGTTACCGATTCCTAGATTACTCAGATACTGAATAAAGGTTAGCTCAGGTGTTCTCATCACTTATTAGTATAAAATATTTCAGTGAAGTAGACTTTATTCTCGCTCCTGCTTCTCTGTGTGACGGATTGAATAATTATCTCAAAAGAGTTTGAATTTGGCGTGCAGATACAAAAAACCCATTAAAGTCCTCCAGTTGTATCCTAGGTGCTTATAACTTGACATTGAACGATTTAGCAACATAAGACTGGCACCCCAATAGAGTCGACATGTTGTTAGAGAAAGGACGCAGTATGGTTTTGTTTGTCGTAGATAAGGCAAGCTAACTCGGTAATCATCGATCGATCAAAGAATATTATACCATTATGAATGTTTATTTTAACTTTAAAAGATGACTCTTAAGTTTAGTTCCACCTCGTAACGGTATATACGGGGAAGAGGATCCGTGTAGACTGTCTCAACGAAAGACGGATCTTGACAGTTTTGTAATTTTAATTTTTAAAGGGCACGGGTAATTTTTCATTAGTTACCGCCAATCCTACCTCCTTGTGCGGATTATTGACATCTAGAAGATCTAATCTGTTCACGTTTTGGCTTGCCACCGATTTCCAAACCTAATTTCAGTTGGTATTTGCGAAAAGGCTATACACAAAATGAAAAATGCAAATCGAAACAACTTTTTACAATAAAGGTAATATGATTCAAACCAGATAGATATCTTCTTCCTGAAGCAGACAATTTACCTCTCTTTAGCTGTTTTATCAAGAAAATCAAATATTCGCACGAATTATTACATGTTCAAAAACCCGGCTATAGTGTTACGCTTCACAGTGCAGCTTTATTCCTGTCCCGCTGGAATATTGGAACATTTGGCAGCACTGACTAGGTCCTTTGGGACATTTCTGGCTGTTTTGTGCACAACCCATCAGCTGGTTGTTCTGATTATCGGACACAGCATGCGGATTTGTGTAGGCTGCATGACTAAGTGGTATCTAAGTTTGTACAGTTTTTTCCACATCACTCTGCAGATCCTACAATAAAGCATGTTTCCGAAACCTTCACCGGACAAAAGCGGAATAAAGAATAAAGAAATTACCAGAGCCGTAAACACTTGGAATAAATCCAACTCCACCCACCTTGTCAAAAATTGCACCTAATAAAGCAAATAATCCATAATGGAACCGATACCATTTCGAACTTCAAGTTTGTTTTATTACACTCAAAGTGATTTACAACAAAATATAAACCCTATAATCAAAGATGTGCTGTAAAAAGGTGTGTGGTATACCATTCAAATGAAAAACAATGTAGTTATATTGCTTTTGAAAAGACAAACATTCCAAGTGGTTGGAATTGCCGAAATTGTGCATCATACCGTATACGGAATCCCCGTTTATTCCTATTCCTATTCCGCTACTTATTAGACAACGTCGTAGATCATTTTCAATGGTGTTTAGTGTAGCTCCACATGGTTACATCGTAATAAATAACCCAATCATTCTTATCAGTCCTTGAGAAGAGTTTGTTTCCAAGTATTTTTAAACATAGAATGTAAAGTCACTTGGGGCATTCTTTTCGTTCCCTTTTGTACGGCGTACGCTCTGCATTGCGCTTCACAAAGCTAATGATACTTCGACCGGTTTACAATGATTATAGGAATACACTGCAACGGAGAAATTTCGATTAACTTCGACAGGGTCTTATTTTTTGATGCTAAGAGTGGTACTGTCCAATATTCTCTCATGTTGGAACGAGAGATCAAACTCCAATTTCGGAAACTTCCGTGATTGAATTTTCATTCACAAGATTTCAAAGTGAGATGAATAGAGACTGGTTTGTTCGGTTTGGAGTTCGCGCAATTGAAGCCAAATTTTTTATTATGGAAACTATTGTAATAAATATCGTGCTTTGACGTAATGCTGCTACCCAGGCTAGCTGATGCTCTGTGATCCTTTGTGATGACAGTTCCCGCATACGACGTGGCCAAATCAGACTAATTTCAGACAGATTATCTTCGTCATTTGCAGATAATACTGATTATTTATTCCTAGTAATTTTTTTTACGCTAGTGAATGTCAGTTCAATTCGGTATCATTAAATGCATTAGGCTGAATGAGAATAATACCGTTTGCCTTCCAGTTTTCAGCGGCGGACTCGGCGCGGTCCCTGGAATCCCGAGGGGGGAGTGGAAATCAATCGGATTCGTCCAGTACCATGAGTTCATCCACAATTATTTCAATTGCTGATACAGACGACAAATCAGAGAGCAATTTATCTACTCCGACCCCGTTAGCTCGAAATTCTGTACGATTAGCACAGTCGAAGTCACTCACCATGCACCAGCGTTTCGTTGGCCAGTCACCGAGTTCACTGAACCGGAGAGTGCAAGCAACTTATTCTGAATCGGTAGGTGTGTGAACAGTGACATATGTCACTAATTAATGGCGTTTCGTAGATCTCACCTATAGCCGTCTCTTTCACATGTAAATCAACAATATGCTCATCCCCATATATCCAGATTGAAAGAATAAATGGCGTTTAATAATTCAAACTTATAGATGCAAATATTTTAAACAAGTATACGAATAGGGGACGAGTTAGGTTGATCAACGGAAAAGAAATTGAAGCAGTTTAACCACCCAGCAGACTACTTACTAGGATAGCACACAAAAATCCCAGAAAACTGCTGGATTATTTGAGCGAGTATATAATCAAGACACATGTCAAGGTTCACTACAAATGGTTCTTAGAATCCTTTGGCCAGAGATAGCCAAGCTCCCCAATTTCTTCATGTTTCCCCGCATCATCTCCTGACCAGTATATACTTTATATTATCCCGAAGCAGTTCTGATTTAATTTTGCACTTCATTAATGCTCTACACTCCGAACTATCTAATTATTCACCCTCTTCATGTATCGATCAAGATGGACGGTCGCACCGCAGTTCAAAGTTTATGAATGTGCCAAGTGACTGAACTGGAAATAAAGTAAAAACTGCAGTTCTGGTGTGAATCGTTGAGCATTCATAGGTTGTTGTATATCCAGAATCCTGGAAAGGGCATTTGAAAAAAAACGACCGGTGAGCGGACAATCGTTTTCGAATATTCCTGGCCATGCTCTTACATATCATATCATATAGAGCAAAAAAATGCTTACAGAATGACAGCCATTGGTTTAATTGAAATTCATTATCCGTAGTCGGAGGTTAGGGGACGTGTGTGTGTGTGCGTGCTCGTGTGTCCATTGGAGTACGTTTACTGTGTCGATTGATGTGGCCTTTCCCTATTTGGGTCAAGGTGTACCTCATGACCTGCTTTGGTTTTCACAACAGTCAATTCAAACGACTGAATTAGTCGATTTTAGCCACACAGGTTTGGGTCAAGTAAGCCATGCCTAGTATCCGGACTCGGGTCGTCTTCGATCGATTGAATGGGATGCGATGAACAACATTTTTTACGTGTATCTTTCCTTCTATTTATGAGATGTGTAAATGTTTGACTGAAATGCGAACATTCTGTTCTCGCAAAAGTCTATACAAATACAAACACAATACAAATAGAAAGAAGGAGACTAAAAGGAGACTTACTGGAGACCTTTAAGATTGTAAAAGGGCTNTTTCCTTCTATTTATGAGATGTGTAAATGTTTGACTGAAATGCGAACATTCTGTTCTCGCAAAAGTCTATACAAATACAAATACAAAATCAAAAACCTACTCCGGTTCGATCTTAGGTCGGTTTCTACGAGATGACACACGATAGCGCCTGAGATACAATCGATCTTCCCTGACTTAACCATCGCGGGTTTTGTTCCTGTAAAATATAAACGCAATCTATTGCTTTCCAACTTCAAATGAATCCGTTGTAACTTCAAGTGAATCCAACCAGTCGCATTCCAAGGGAAACCCCACAAGATGATTGGTGTTTCGGCCATCAAACGTCACCGATTGGACGGGGTCTGTCTAAACCCCATCCAATAGGAATGAACTAAACAAACTTAAGTACTTTCTGAGTGAGTTATCCAGCGAGGTTGAAAAATTCCGTGGCGTGGGGAGGGCTTGGCTGTTCGTCTCTCCCTGACCCACTCTGAAACGTCATGTGCGTGATCGTTCATCGATTGTGCATCATAGACGTTAATGGACGAGCCCGGTGGTGATTGACCTCTGTCGCTCGGTTTAGGTATAGGCTGAAGAGCCCCGAATATTTTCTCAGCAGACACTGATCGAATAACTAGGCTATATCCGCCAAACGCTGCAGGACAGGGTTAATTTAGAAAAGTTTATTGACGAGAATATTCGACTCTCTCCGGAAAATAAGAAAGAACTATTCGAAAGTATTCCGGTTAGGGAGGCTCGAAAACAGAAAGTCTAGTACAGTCGCTGAGAAAGGCTGTGAATTCCACTATCCCCGCAGTGATGTTCAAAGTATTGTTCTCCATATCACCGGCGATGCGAATACATTTGAAAGACATACTGATAAAACTGACTTCATCTACGTTAATTTATTCTTTTACATGCATTTGCGGCTCATGTTAAATAGGTCGTACGGTAGGGCTTTTGTCTCAACACGTTAGGGGCACCATGGCGATCGTAACAGATTAAATACTGTCAGGGAGGTCAGCATACAGTGTAATAAACACAATTCACATAAGTTGATTAAAAAAATGAAACGACAAATTATATGCTGGATGAAAATCCATGGAACATTTCGCTTTCATTGTGTTATATTTTGTTTTATTGTATTATATTGCATTGCATTGCATTTACCACTCACTAAGTTGTTAAAATGTTTAGCTTTCATTGGACAATAAAATTCCAAGTTCATATAATTAATTATTTTACTTCCGTCGTAATATGTTAATCTGGAAAGAGAATGAAGTAATTTTGATGAACATTTCCCTCGGGAAACGTAAAACCTTAAAAGTGCAAACTCTGGTGTTTATTGTTCACCTGAATTTTCAACAAAATTCCTATGGGTGTTGTGATTTGCTTTACGTGTTGAGCCCCTGACATTTACACTTCTGCGTGAACAGTAAAGTTTGTGTTGCAAGTACCGATGGCAACACAGGATACATTTTGTGAAACTGTATTGTTCAAAGAATTACTTTTTACCGGAAAATGTATTTCTTATATGTTTCATAATATTCACTGTAAAATTCACACCTCGTGGTATGCAGTTTTAAGTTTTTCTTTTAAAATAGAGTCAACCAGCAAGTTTCGATTGAGGATGCTAATATTATAGTTCGAATTTACTTGAGGACACAGAAATCGATAGTAAACCCTATTGTATTCCTCAAGGTAAGTTAGCAGTCTAGTGGGACAATAAATGATTACCTTGTATCGCTTTGCAAAATAAGCACACCATTAAAATTCACAAATGAGCTTTACCTAACTCACGAAATTGGTGCCGATGGGTTATCAGTACAATAAATGATAATGGATGAACAGTTAAACAGAAATACTGGTTGGGATGCAAAAAATTCTGTTTCTGTTGGCACCGTGTTGATTATCATGTCTAATTTCACACTTCTTTTCCCGTTTGCCTCTTGTATAAATACAGTTACCACTTTATGGTAGCGGTTCGGAACATTTGGTTCGCGAACTATTGAGCTTGGGCAAACGATTCTCGGAATTTATTCAGGCATACAGTCAAATTACTCCGACGGTGACTCAGGGTGGCACTACAATCAATCAGTCGACGCTGCGGAAAGCAGCACTGGACTTAATAAGACCTTACGGAGAGCTCTCTGAGACAAAACTAATTAAAGACAAATTCTTCGCCGCAACTCCAGCCCCAACACGTTTGGACGATGACCGGACCGGTAGTAGAATTATCCCGCTAAGTTTTGGACAACTCAAACTGGCTTTTCCGTTCAACCTGGTCACACGAATTGCATGTGCCAAAGAACGCGGGGCATATCCGGATGTGAAACTGATTGTGCGAGCAACCAGTCGCATGATAACCCACGTGACACGCGTTAGCAAGCAGAGTGAGGCCAAAATAGATCCAAAGTTTATGGATATCCCAGCTGTTTGGGGTATTCAACCGTAATTAGACTTCTCCGAATGAAGATATCTGACGATGATGGTTAACTGAACAAAAGCGAATGCATTAACACTGCCCTTTTAGGTCTTACAAAAGGACTACTCCTTTTCCCTTTTATGTAAATTGATTCTTATTCATCATGCTTTATTTTATTTTTCAACGTAATATTTTGTTCTTTCTTTGCATTATTTTCTCTATGTTTCAACACTGAACAAACCGGTTTGATGTGGATCTGTTTTAGTTTGTAAAACCATCTGCTCTGTTTGTTGCCGCTTGATAATCAAATCTCATCTGTACATGTTTCTGCATTTGTTTACGCCTGAAGACGGTGATATAATTCAATCGATTTTGAACACCGCAAGGCTTGGTTTACCCTCATATGGTGAACTGGGAAATTCAAAAGAGTGTTCTTTTGGATCCCCCGAGTTTTACAATGGACTCTGTTTCCCGCAAAATATGGAAATTTGAAACACATGCAGTCGTAAACAAAAAATAGAGAAAGTGTTGTTGTCACCTCAACCGAATTGATTCGGTTCACACAGAACATTGAACTGATTTTGTGCAGAACAATCTGCTCGCTTAGTTTATCGTTGTCCCCAATTGTAGTTTATCACCTTGCACCTGAAACAGAGGTGTTGCTCAACAAAACGGGCTAGCCATTGCACAAATGGCTCTCTTGTCCCCCTCTCATTAGTTGTGGAGGAAGAAGATAAAGACAAATATCTGAGGAAATATGCGTGAAGCTGCCCCGTTCCTCCTCCTCCACCACCACCCCCCTATTTGCGAACTGCAGCCCAGATTCACTTTGATCAGTGTTTTCTGGAACAAATTACATCTGATCTGACCAACATGAGTGCCAGAAAGGGAGACCTGGTCACCTGTCGTTCCTATTCTCTTTTCTTTGTTCAGGCATTTCATTCCTTGTTCTGCAATACATCTATGGTGAACAACACTCACACACGCCGACGGACTGGCAAAGACGTTCACTTTTGAACTCGTATTTTGCACTCAATGATGCAATACAATTACGTTCTCGATTTGTGCGTGTTTTTCTTTATACTGGATCGCTGGGCAAATGTGGTGTGTAGTTTATCTTGTGAGAAATTCCTCTTAATTGCAAAAGTTTTACTCGGTCCATGTGGTATGAACTCAGACTTTAGTGTAATGTAACGACTCTGGGATCTGGAGTGATTGGTATTCGGCCGATTGGAAGTGGGTTATTCAGGTGAGCAACGTTATAGTACTTACCATCACTCGCGGTACGAGTAGTCCGCAAAAACCTAGTAATGGTTGGTCATGATCTATCTGTATTTGGACAGTGTCGACAGAACTACTGCCTAGAGTGAATGGCAGACACCTGTTTACTGCTGACAACAGCGCTTAAAAATAAGACAAAGGTTCTGCAACTGGTTGCTGGCGAAAGAGAAAAGGTTACGGCAGGACTGAAGCAGAGGATTGCATTGCATAATACATATCGTACAAGTCAAACGAATGCGGAAATGGAAGGGTGAAAGGAATTTCAAACCTTTTGGGTTCTAATCGGCTATACAAACACCTGTGAGCCAAAGCGGAGTCAAACTTTAGTATGTACGAGACATTTTCGCATACAATATAAGGACAACACGTTGAAAAAGGATGATGGATGGATGGGTAAATGCAGTCACTTGGGGATATAGTATTTCACTGGTACATACGCCGCAGTAACCAGTTTTGTGAATATATGTTTTTATCTACTTATGCTCCACAATTATTATAAATTTATAAAATATAAAAGTTATTCTTTAATGGGATGAATACAATTTTACGAACCATACACTTTAAGGCAGATAAGGTTGGTTTGTCAGAAGTCTGCGCTTGAGTGCACATAAAGCCAAGATCAATAGGCAAACTGAGTCATTGCTTCCGCATACTTCATTAAAACACTCAAGAAACAAAGTTCTTTTCCGAAACTTGTTGTTTTTAACCACTCTGCAACTTGATCTTGGATGATCAAACAGTTAGAAAATGACTCATATGGTGAACACATATACCGGGAAAAGACGTGGAAGCATTGTGAATAGCTGTTTACCGCTATCAAGCAACATCGAAAATGCACATCTTTGAATCAACTTTAAAATTGAAAGGCAGAATTTTGGAACCACAACTGACAACTAGAATGGATTGGGCGCTTTTTTCTGACAACATTACGTGATGTAGCACTCAGGCTTTTTATTGTTATTAGCCGGTGCCTGTAGTCAACCACACAACGACCGAATCCCAAAACCAAATTGTAGCAAGCAATTGCGAGGAGCCAAGCAGTACCGAAAAAACTTTAAAATATGAGTTAATTGTAAAAAGGTGTAATCTTTCATAAACCAAAACATATTCCAAAAATACTTTATTCTGGGCAGATCTTTTTTGCTTCTCTGGGATGAACAACTCGCGATAACCACAGTACAATATCTTCCCTTAATTAAGTGGGTAGTAGTAGGCACTACTGTTTCCAACTCTAAATTCAAGGCGTGTTTCTATTTTAAGAACACAATGTCGGCGAACATATGTTTCCGGTGAATTTCTTTCCAAGCTTTTACAATCACATTTATATGAAACAATTTCAATACGATCAAACAGAAAGGTGTATGAGTCATGTGTTTGGCAATAAGCCCAAGAGAACTCCGAATGCGTGCGCTGCTTGGATCACATAACCAAAGTCGTTACGTCATGGTGTTACATCATGGTCATGTGAGCAAGCGATTTTCTCTTCCCCTGACCTGGAGAGTTTGAGAGCTTGAATCGATTTGCGTTGTGCACACAGCTCAGGCTTCATGAGCCGGATTCTAATCGCCTCTGCGGTTGCTAACGTCCGAAACCGTATTGCTTTCGAGAGGTGTGGTGAGACGCGATAAATGATTGTAAATGCCGAGCGTATGTCAACCAAGTGTCCCGTATTTTGCGTGGCCAACAAGAGCACCAATCTTGCCCATGTCGAGTCAGAATTCAACACAATACATTCGTCACAACTGAATTAGAGGAGAATGATTGCCTTCCGTTTTTGGATGTCCATCTGACTAGATGCTCCGATGGCTCTATCCAAAGAGAGATATCGAAAAGCAACATGAAGTGAACAGTACACAAATTTTCATAGCTTCTTCCCACTCTATCAAAGATGTAACCTCACACGGTATCTCCCACAAAGAGCGAGGCGCATCTGTTCAGAAGATACTTTAAAGGACGAAATTGAACTAGTGAGAAGAACCTGATTGGAAAATGGCTACCCTGAAAAGTTTATCGACCATAATTGAACTTAACAGATTAGACCAACAAAAATTGCCAAAATCGGAGAAGAAAATGCATTTTATAAAACTTCCATTCAAAGGCGATGTCGAACGACAAGACAGTTATCTCAACAGATCAAAGAATAGAATCCACGCTGGTTCACACAGGGTGGGAGTGGGGCTGTGTCAAGCTCGACCTTTGCTCATCTGGAACAGACTGGACACTTGGTTGACATACGCTCGGCATTTACAATCATTTATCGCGTCTCACCACACCTCTCGAAAGCAATACGGTTTCGGACGTTAGCAACCGCAGAGGCGATTAGAATCCGGCTCATGAAGCCTGAGCTGTGTGCACAACGCAAATCGATTCAAGCTCTCAAACTCTCCAGGTCAGGGGAAGAGAAAATCGCTTGCTCACATGACCATGATGTAACACCATGACGTAACGACTTTGGTTATGTGATCCAAGCAGCGCACGCATTCGGAGTTCTCTTGGGCTTATTGCCAAACACATGACTCATACACCTTTCTGTTTGATCGTATTGAAATTGTTTCATATAAATGTGATTGTAAAAGCTTGGAAAGAAATTCACCGGAAACATATGTTCACCTACATTGTGTTCCTAATCAATGGGCATATCCCGTGTTTCTATTTTAATGTTGACAGAACAAAGCTTCTGAGCTTTTCAGTTCACACTTCATTTGCTATATACACGACGAATTCCCATTTGAAATTTAACTAAATCCGCCAGTACCCACATGAAAGAACAATATCTATCGTCAGCTGCAGTGACACGTAAGGTTAATGGTTGTAAAAGTGACGCTGACACTCGCATTCTGCATAAAACAATGACCTGTATGCAAACCGAAAACCTGTGTATAAAAAATGGATTCGATGGGTTAATAGGGAGGGAATGAAGCATGTTACCGGGAAGGATACGTCTTGGCTGTTAAGATAAATAAAGAGAGCAACAATTTGACCGGTATATGCAGCCGGCCCGCGCAATTCCGGATTACACCAGACACTATCAAGACTGACTTATTATTCTGTATGAGGCCGGGACTAGAGCAATGAGGAAGCTTTGTGGATTTGCTTTTTGCAAACATAGACATGGCTATGATAACTTTCTCGCTTTCACATGAGTTGCATTGAGTTATTGCAGTTGCTAGAGAGCTTTTGGTAGGCATCTAATAAAACACCTTGATTGCACCTTATTCGCATGATGTTCCGTGCTAATCGTATATGTCATCATTATGCTTCGTATACTTCTTGTGCTTCTGGTGTTGATCCAGGTGGGTTCATGTTATTTGATTTTATAGGACAACTGATTGATTCTCCCTGTTTATCGAATATCCAAAGTGACCTTCAGTTTAGCATATTTTACATTTACCCGCTTCAAGCAAATTCACTTGACCAACCGGTATCATTCATTGAATTGGTTGCTTCCCAAACAATCAAGGATTTGCCGCGCTTCAACTACTGCAAATTGCTGATTTCCATTGACCACTGTTTTAACTATACATCAATCCTGTGTAGAATTTCCCATTCCAGTCAGTCTATTAGGCAAGTAATACCAATACTGCACCCTTAGTTTGGGTGCATGACCCAAAGGAAACATATTGAAGAAGCCGGAAGTGTCCGAAGCTTGACAAGTAGAGCGTGGGCTGCATAATGATGGTGTTATTGATGATCGGGTTTGGATAGTCTAAAAAATAGGGCATCCACGTAATCTAGCGACCAATTAGATC